CCACCGCCCAACCTCATCCTCCTTCCTCCTCTAGAATTTGACAAGTTCCTGGAAGAACGGGCCAAAGCCGCAGATCGGTTGCCCAACCTCTCCAGCCCCGCAGCTGAGCGCCCCCCAGCGCCCCCTTCTGGTGCTGCCCCTCGAAAGAAGACCCAGAAAAAAGATGACGACATGCTGTTCGCCTTATGAGTGTGGGGTCTGGCACCCTGCAGCCCCGCCCCCCTTCTCCGCTGGGGCCTCTCTCCTTCCTTCGGTGTTCAGGCTGCTTTGGGGGTACCTTGTTACCCCCCTTCTCTTCTCCTGGAGGACGGGGCTGACCCAGCCAAGGCTGGGCCCTGCTGCCTGGTGTAGGAGCAGCCGGGTGACTCAGAGGACAGGTCAGCTCTGTCGGGCTCCTGGCTGCTCCAGCTTCTTCCTCACCTGACCGACCACTACGACGTCACTGGGATCTGGGAAGCCCCAGTTCAGACAGGCTGACTTGCTCCTTGTCATGGAGGACCCCACCCCCATCGGGCGCCCCCGAGCCCACACTGCCAGTCGAGGCCTGGCTGGAGGCTGACAATGGCAGAAGCTTCTGTCATAGCCCCTGGTCCATCCCCCGGCGCTCGCCTGCAGCCTGCAGGCTCCGGTCACTCCTGGGCAGTTCTGCGGCCCTCAGCCAAGCTGCTCTGCAGGTACGAAGCTGTGTGAGGTGGGGCCCCCTCACCACCTGGCTGCGGGGGTGCCTCCAGGGAGCCTGGGCCCCAGCACCTCCGTCACTGCCTTTCCCTGCCTCCTCCGCGCCCCTGGCAGGGCTCCTCGGCCCGGCCCCCGATCATCTCTTGTGCTGGGAGAGGCGCCTTTTATATCTCCAATTAAAGATAGAAACTGCCTGCTGTTGGACTCCAGGAGGGAAGCGGCCTCTTGGCCGTGTCGGGGGACCGGCGACTTGGGGCTGGGTGGGCCGTCCTAGAGGCGGGCATCTGGGGGTGGACGGCAGGTGGCCGCTGACAAGGTGCAGCTGCGAGGACTGCTGACCGGCCAGCCCCTGCCCAGCCCAGCCCAGCAGCAAGGGTGGGGGCGAGCACTGGGTAAATGCCTTCAGGCGGCCTGTCTGGGGCCCACCCCGGTGCCAGGGCCCCAGGCTGCACACGGGACTGTAGACTGGCCACCACACCCTGGGCAAAGCAAGGTCACCCTCTCATCAGACGCTGCCAGTGGGTGACTCATGGGTCACATGAGCTGCCCCTTCGCAGCAGGGGCGCCAGGTGTATTTTGCGCCGGGAGCCTGCTGTGCATCAGTGCCCTGTCCCCCCTCTGGACAGCAGAGGGGCGCAGTCCGGACAGCTCAGCACCCTGCTCAAGGCACTGGGCCCAGTCAGCCTCGGGACATTAGTTCTTACCTGCCCCGCAGCTCGAGGGCTCCAGCTCTTGGGGTGCCACCTTTTCCAGTCTGGACTGTCCATACCAGTTCTCCAGCAGTCGCTGCTTGAGGCATGTTGGGGTCCTCACCCAGCCCTCAGGGGTGGAAGGAAAGGGGGCTCAGGTGGGGCTGGAGTGAGTGGCCTGCAAAAGGTCATCCCATGGGAGGAAGCTGGAGGGGCCCGGAGGCTGGAGTGGGGCCCAGGTTGGTCTCAGAGCAGCTGTCAGCTGCCGTCAGCCTCAGGCAGGCACCCCACTTTCTGAAATGTGGCCTGGAGCTAGACACACGGGACCCTGACCCTGTCAGCCCTCGGGTGCGGTGAGGACCCTTGGTCTGGCCATCCCTGAGGCGGGTGGGAACAGTCCCCTCCGGGCACGCTTCAGAGCTCCTCCATGAGCTGGAAGCAGGCTGGAGGTGGTGCCAAGTCGGAAGCCTGGCCCGTGTGCCCAGCCCGAACCGCGGGTATCGCACCGCCGGCCGCCGGCCTGATCCACAGCCTCGGGAGACGGCACCAGGGCCCCGGCCCGCATTCGCGCCACACTCGGCTGCTCCAAACTCCAGGCTGCTCCGGGCCCGCGTGCGCTGCCAGGGACGGGCACCGCAGTGGGCCAGGCGCCCTCCGCACGGCCCGGTGCGGCGCCTCACGTCTCTCCAGAGCCGCCCTTCCCCCGAGGTGGGAAAAGGCCCAAGGCCCTTGGCCATGCTCCCCCCTGCCCTGACGGGGGCACTGCCACCTGCTGCCCCATCCTGCTTTAGATCACAGGCAGCTGGCCGGGGGCTGGGTCTCTGGCCCCTGCCAAGTGGCCCCACGATGTTTGCCGCCCTCCCGTCAGTGCTCAAGGCCACGGCCACTTCAGGAGCTCCCTGAGCACCACGCCCCAGCCTGCCTTTCCACGCCTCAGCAGCCTGTGGGGCTCGGGGTTTGGCACTGCGCACAGGTGGGGAAGCCTGGCCACAGCACAGTGAGAAGAGGGGCTCCAGTCCTCTCACGGCTGCATATCCGCCTGACCCGCCCATCCCTGCTCCCCCATGCTCCCCGGCAAGGGGTGACGCACCTTTTAAATGGTGTCCCCTGAGGGGAGCGGAGCTTTGACAGGGCGACAGTGCAGCCCTGTGCTGGCAACTTGCCAAGTCATTTGTTCCTTCTGCGTAGTCGCTCCGGGCAGGTGTGGTGCCAGGTGCTGAGAACACAGAGGTGAATGTGGCCAAGCGCTGCCCCCGCAGGTCACCCGGGAGAGAAGGGGACCACCGAGACGGGCAAAATTCAAAAGGCCTCACCTGCTCGGAAGTGAAGGAAAGGGAAGCCCATCTGGCAGCGGCGGCCCAGGGCTGGCCAGAAAGGTGGGGCCCAGGCAGAGGGCGGGGCGGGGCTGGGCTCCCCAGGCCCCTCCACGGGAAGGCTGCTGGACTTGGAGGGAGGCGCGGTGGCCGCAGCCATCAGCACCAGCTAGGCTGAGTCTCTCGGCGGCAGGCTGTGTGTCTGAGGCCACAGGCCCCGGCCAGGTCACTCGGGGCCGGAGGTCTCAGGCCCCACGTAAACAAGGGTGAGCTGCTGGCGGCGCCCTGGAGGCCACAGGCAGGACTGAGGAGGGGCCAGCTGGGCGCTGCTGGGCCTGCTACCTTGGAAGGTGGCACTGGCCAGGGGTACAGGGAGGGTGAGTGGAAGCAGCAGTGGGCAAGAGAAGGAGAGGCAGACCCGGGAGCTGCAAGACAAGGCTGCCGCAGGCATCTGGCAGAGCCTCGGCCCGCTCCATGCCCACCTGGCGTCCTGGGGCCCAAGAGCCCCACTTTGGGCCTGGACGCTGACCCTTCCTGCCCCACTCATCTTCGTCAGTTGTCTCGTGGCAGCCAGCCCTGGCAGCCCAGCAAGTGTTGGCTCTCAGACGCACAGCTCCGCTCCTGGTGCCTCTCTTCCCTTGTCAGTGGGCCAGCAGCAGTGGCTCCCCCGTGGGTGGCTGTGTGTTCACAGGGGATGCTCCACCTCGTCACCCGGGCCGTCCCCCCCATCCCGAACAGCCTCTGCTCCAGACACCCCACAGGGAAGGCCCCCTCCAGCCCTGAGCAATCTCGGACGACCTCACTCCGACGACGCTCTGCCCCTCCCCTAGGTTGGCACTGTGCCCCTCAGGGTGCTTGATTCCGGCAGGGGAGCAGGGCAGGGTCCTGGCCGCCCGGATCTGGCGGCTGCCTGGGAAGCCGCGGCTGGAGGCCGAGTCCCACACTGGCCACAAGATGGCAGCATGGCTGCGCGGCCCCCCGGGCCCAGGGGGTCGGGGCGGCGCCGCCGGGCGGGTCCCTCGGCGGCATCGGGGCCCCTCTCCCTGCCGGGGGAGGGGTGGAGCGGCTGCCAGCTCGGGCAGCAGTGTCCCTTGCCCGCAGTACTGCCCCACAGAGGCCTGCATCCCCCGGCCAAGCCCCACCAGCTCCCCTTCTCCCCCATCTCCCCAGCCCTCAGCCCTTCCGTACACCTCCTGGGAGCTGCCAGGCTCCTGCCAAACCCGGGTGCTGCCCTGGATTCTCACATCCCCTGTTACATCCGGCCCTGCCCCCCCGTGAGGAACGCGAACTCCGGGTGCCCCCGGCCCCCCAGAAGGCCTCCAGCAGGCCTGACTCCCGCCGCCCTTCCCCTTCCTTCTCTGCCAGCTTGCCCCAGGCTCACTTGCCCAGAGCCAGCCTCCGCCCTGATCTGCCCTGCGCCTTGCTTGGGTTCCCACTCCCAGGACAGCCCCAGGTCAGGCCTCTCCATGCTCGGTCTGTAGCACCCCCCACCCGCACAGCCCCCCTCACCCCCACAATGGCTCTGGGACCAGCTGCTCAGGACAGACGTGGAAGAAGCAGCACAGGCTTGGCTTTAGGACGGTGTTGGAGTGATCCTCGGGCCATGTCGCTTGAGCCCCCCAGACCCCAGTTGGCACAGCCCTGGTATTTCCGCCTCCCCACACACGTCCTGGGCAGTGGATTGGGGCTGTGCTGACAACAGACGAGTTGTCGCCGGGTTCTGGGTGTGAGTGGGGCTCTTTGTCCCTAAGCCTCTCTCCGTGGCGTGCGAGACAAGAAATGCCAGTAACCACGAGGGGAGTTGGGTCCCTGGGGGGTTCTTCTGCTCAGACCGAAGGGGCTGGTGGGCACCACCTGCCTGGTGGGGCCAGGCCAGGAGAGGCAGTGACTTCAAGGCCCTGGGCAGCCTCCGCTGTGTGTGGTGCCCTCTGGGGAGCTTGAGGACTGGGGGCAAGAGGGAAGCGAAACCCCAGCAGGGAACATAACTTCCTGGCGCTGGGACCCAGTGGCCCTGCCTGGGGCTTCCCTGGGAAAGAGGAAGCAAGAGGTCCCTCTGAGGAGGGAGCTGGGGGGCTGTTTGAGTGGGGGGAGCCTGCCCTGCTGCTTCTCGGATGGAAAGAAAAGGAACCCCCAGCTTATGGAGGGGAGAAGTGGGGCTCAGAGAAGTCAACCAACCCACCCAAGGTCACACAGCTGGGAAGTGGGCAGACCTCGTGGAGTCCTCTTCTCTAGACGAAAGTGAAAAGCATCCCTTTGGGGGTTGATGAGGTGCATTTTACCCCGGGGTTGAGTCTCTGAGCCTTCAGGGCTAGAAAAGTCACTGTGTGTGTGTGCGCCTGCGTGAGTCTGTGCTCTGGCACAGGCCAGGGGGTGTGTGTGGCCCTAGGCTGAGGGCTTGACAGCCTCCTTTTGCTGGCAGCCTGGCTCAGGCCATGGTTCCTCCTGGGCTCAGGGTGGTGCAGAATTGGCCAGAACCACACAGCGAGTTGGCAGAACCCAGCTCAGCACACAGGCAGCCAGGGAACCTGCCCAGCTGGGCGAGGCAGGTGCAGGGAGTCCCCCTGCGGGAGCCCAGGGGCACCCCCCTCTAGCC